CAAACAACCTCTACACAACGAAAGGAGACTGCAACCATACGAAAGGCCGCACCATCTTGGTCTTCATACCTTCGTGTAACTTTATTATTTTTTTTACTTTATTAAAATTCAAATAATATTAAATAAGTAATATGATGTATGAGTCTGCAGATCACTGCACATTTTCTCAAATCGTGGAATTAAACTGGACATGTTTCCTTTTCCACGTTGATTTTTCCTCTATACTCGCTTTTTATTGCAGCGACCGCCGAAAACCCAGCTTCGCACAAACATGACGTCGAAAATGGAATATGAATCCGCTGAGACTTATCACTTAGAAGGGGTTATTCATCCTTTCCAAAATTCTGTCAATTCCATGCTGCCAAATGTTTAGGTTAAATTAATCATGAAGCTTTTACAATATTTCGCGGCGCCCCTGTAAAGAGACGCACAGTTTGGCAATCACTGCTCTAACTGATAGGAAGCTTGAAAAGTCCGTCAAGTTTCCCAACTGGCCCATTCAAGGGTCGAAAAGAGGGTCTAGCCTCCACCTATTTTTCCGGAAGTGAATGCCTCCACTGCTTTTCTCCTTCAGGCTCAAATGCAGTCCCAACTTCGCCTGTACTCGACAACTCACTACTCACAAACTTAGCTTGTGAGTAGTTAACTGAAGTGGCATTAGCCATCGGCAATGCCGAAGGAGATGGGTCTTACACTCAGGTTGGTTTTATCTCTTTCTCCCATTCTCTCTTTGTCGCTTTCTCCCTCTTGCCCCTTCGACTGGTCAGTCTCTCGCAGTACGCCGGCCGGCAGCATGCGCCAGCTCGACTGTCTGATCCGGGCTCTGGTACAACTGGCTGAGATGAAACGGAAGTCAGGCGTCTCGAGAACCGACCTTGCGACTGGCACCTTCAACGAGTATGAGGATTGTCTGCTGCTCGCGTCGTTCTGTGTCCTGCAGCAGTGGCAGGTGACTTTGTCTTTTCACACTTGCCCTCTTTATCTACTTGTACATGATAAAATGTATTCGCCCAATTTCGTTTAAGGTCATGCAGGACTGGTAGAAGTAGAATTTTCCCACAAATGATATGAGTTGGGCTGACGTTTCCATTACATTTTTGCATAGCTTTGCTTTCCCAAAAGTCGTTCTCATCCCGGCTGGAGTGGACTGCAGTTTCGACCTCGCATCAACTGGTCTTATCAACACCCTCAGCGGGAGTCGAACCGCGACAGTGCAGGACGGTAGAGAGGTCGAAACTGCAGTCCACTGGTGCCTGGATGAGAACAACTTTTGGGAAAGAAAAGCTATGTAAAAATTCAATGAAAACGTCAGCTCAACTCATATCATTTGTGGGAAAATTCTACTTCTACCAGTCCTTCGTTACCTTAAACGAAATTGGGTGAATACATCTCATACTACTGATTTACTGGTAGTGACGAAAAGCAATACCTTATTCGAAAAATACTTGTACATTGTCATTCATACATACATGCCAACATTAATACACACATACACAAATAAACACATACGGTCGTTAAACCCCGGACTAACGCAGGCACTGAGGCATCAATGGACAAATGTGGCTTTCGTCGGACTCGGCTGTGCTGAGCGGTGGGAAGAGAACCGGTATCGGCTTGCCTGCTCATTCCGGCAGAAGTGGCGAGTGGAAGGGATTCGCAAATTGGCCACACCAGAAGCCGGAGGAGGATTGTCGTCGAGTTGTGATTGTGTAGTTGGGCCAATAAGTCTTCGTCGGTGCACGCTGCTGCGTCTCAGTCTTCGTCTGTGCCGTGGAAAAAGACGAGAACCCACCGAATACGAGCACCGAGCAATGCCGCCTACTTCATTTTTCCCAACTTTATTCACTTTGTGTGGCATATCTTCAATTGTTTGGCCAACTTTTGCTTTTCTTACGCGCTTGCGCAACATCGAAGTGAATGCAGATGACACGGTCTCACTTGTCACTGATCGACACTTCGCCAAATGTGTTTTAATATCATTTGTGACTCCACAGCCAAACTTGGGGGCATTACACTTTCTGGATGGTGATTTAATGTTGATTATAGTGTCTATGTAGCCTTGTCTGCAAGGATGTTGTTAGGGGGACCTTCACTTCGAATGAAAGTACATGAAGAAGAGATTCGTTGGTCGATCTCACCAGATGAGGACGGAGGAAACGAGGGAGGAAGTCTCGGGGACTGCGTCAACATGAATGTCGTTGTAATGCCAAACGGATGCAGTACAGCGAGTTTCATACGTCCTCATCTGGTGAGATCGTCCCACGAATC